GTAGGTGTTTGGGGAGGTAAATGAACTGGAAAGGCATGACTTCTGTCCGGACAAGTCCCCTGCAACCATGTTTCTCCCAAATTCAGAAAGAGAAATATATATTTCTCAATCAATCCACATAAAGCAGCAAACTATGAAAACTACGTACTTCCCGGAAGAGCATCCAAATTCAAAAATACGTATCAGGTAAGGTAAAATTATACTAACGTTCTTACACCAGAAAAAACTAGGCAAGCACAAAAATTACATGCCTTCTCAGAAAAAGCATACATATAAACCAACACAGTCATCCAGGAACAGAGCAGACTAGAAGCGATCCTTCAGTAAGCTCTGGTTTCACTCGATCGAAGGTAGACGAACTTCCCTAAGGATATAACTAACGTCCTAAGATATCAGTTAACTATAAAATAATTTATTGAAAAAGTTCACGCCACGCCAATCTATACGGAGCAATAGTATTCCTGTTGAAAAATGCATTTCCCCATTAATTAATTCTCCAACTACAGATGAGTTTGTCGCCGCCGGCGCCCTTTTTGAGGACTTCTTTTGGTTGCGAATGGTCATGCAAACAAATCAAATACAGCAGAAGAGTTTGCTAAAGGCTAAGTGCTGAAGAGCAGGTATGAGTTCAAAAAACGAAGAAGAATAGAAGCAGTAAGGAATGTAGACAAAAAGCCAAAATCTAATATATACCTGGCTTGAAGATGCTGGGGGAACTGTATTACCATCACCATGTGCGTTGAACCTCTGAGACGGAATACTGAGCAATTCATAGAGGGCCATCTTATTCCTAGGAGGTGCTCTTGGCCCTCCCTTCTCCGTATCATTGACGTGGAGTCTCGGGAACATTGGCCCCGTGAACTTCTCATCATCTTTCCCTCGCTTCATCCTCACTCTTAATGTTGTAACAAAGCGCCTTCTATGTAAAGAAGGTATCACGCAAAGACGGCATGACCTCCAAACCAGTCATCCACATACAGACGCCCAATATAATTAAACCCAAATAACAAAGCAATTTCTAAATCGCGCAACTCGAAGCAAACTACTACGTTGCGGACACAAAATTTATGAAAGCTATATGAAATCAGCTCCAGTTCTCGACAAGATGATCACTTCTGCTCAACTGGGTATCGCGTGGGTCTGTGAAAAATGAATCTCGCAAGCAATAGCTCCAAACTGATCTGTTCACCCAAAAGAATCTCAAAAATTGCCCGGATGGTTATAGTAGGTCCCAACTCGGAAGACAAATCAGAAGTCAGACTCCGACGCCTAACTCTGCTGCTGTCCTTGGGTAAAATTAAGCGATTGTAGAGGAACAAAGTCGAGCTGGTCAGAGCAGATGTTGAGAAAGCCGCAAAATTACTGGACTCAGTAGAAAGATTTAAAAAAAAAAAAAGGAGTAGACCGGGGATAGAGGGAGAGAATAGTGGGAGAGAAGAAATTCGCGAAGAAAAGGGAAGAAGTATGTGGCTGATTCAGGGATTCCTCAGACTATCATCATCTGATCTGCGAAAAGGGAAATAGCGAAAGTGCGGACTTGTGGGCCTTTCCTGGATGGAGCTAGAAATGCCTTTTTGCAGTAAATTAGTCATCTTGATTTGGTGTTCAATTCTTTTTATTTGCTTCTGGATGATAATCACATCCCCTCTTTGGCACTTTCCCTTCAATACTTTTCACTTTTTTATTTTCTAATTCTAATTTTTTATTAGTGGACCCCTCATCCTCTCGGTCCTTGACCTTGTGCCTGCGACCGAGAAATAGGAATTTTCTTTTTCTTTTTTCCTCGTAGACATTTAACAGTCTTCTTCTTCCTCTTCGTATTTTTTTCTGCATCTTTTAAATTTTGATCTCCGAGTTCTTTTCTTTGCCATAAATCCATCATAATGTATAAATTCTAAAAAAGTAAATATGCTTTATTTTATATAAAAATTAAGAATAATGATTAAAAAGTAAAAATAAAACTTGAATCATTTAAATTAAATTTAAATTATCAGATATATACTATTAAATCAAATAAAGGTTAGATTAAAAAGCATAAGTAATCCGTGTGACTTTTTTCGAGTGAAAAGGATCCGTGTGACTTTTTTGACAAAGGGTAAAAGAGACAGAAAGGTAACTATGACTAGCGAATCACATTTTGGTTTTCCCTGGTGTGCGTCCTCAGTGGAATTTACTAGCTTGTGGATTGGTGTAGGTAAGGCGTAATGGGGGGTGATGTGGCTCCCGCGGATTGGTTGGTGGCGCAGCAGGCGGTACACGTGCCGTTCAGTTATTGAGTGATAGTGGGTGAGTTCCATCAAGGGATCAAAATGACAGACAGAGTGAAGGGCACAAAGAAAAAGCGAGATTCGATGAAATCTGCATTCGTCATCAATCGCAGTATTAACTAATCACTGCCGTTCCTTTGATTCTTTGATGTCATATGGAAAATAAAATAGTAGAACATATATTTTTTAAGAATAATAAAAAGTTTTTCCGGGAAAAAAGAATGATAGAACTTTTGGTTCTTTTGTTTGGCTATTGATTAAGGGAGTGTTGGGATAGAAACCAAACTATGGTTTCAAAAGTGATTTCACAGTCTACGAGGTAAATATGTAGAGAAGTTTATCTCAATTTGCGAAAAAATGCTTCTGAGAAGCACTTTTCAGGGTATCCAAACACTCCCTAAATTTCTGCAAATTAATTATTATTAGGAAGAAAGTCTACAAATCACTTCAACCCAGTTTGCTTATAGTTAGCCCTAAGATTTTAATATATTTTGTTTCTAATATTTTTCCATTTTGTTCTCAAATAATTTCATAATTACAAATATTAAGAAGTTTTGTGAAAAGATAATTTCAATGCACAAAATTGATAAGAAATTTTTAAAAAATTAATATTTATTTATTACAAACAACTAATTTAATTTTTTTTACAAAAAATAACTAATATAACTAATTTTTTTAATATACTCAAATTAGTTATCTAGCTCTTATTTTAATAACCATATTATAATCACTTTTGTGTATTTTGAGACAAAACTCCACTTACATATTTATCTTGTATTATGCAAAACACGATGGACAAGCTGCTCTTAAAAGCTCCAATCAACATTTTAAACAAGTCCAAACAAAAATCCAACCTTTTTATTTAATATAAAAAAAATTATTTGCACGCATTTAGTGTTTTATAATGCCTCAAATAAAATCGTCTCCAATAAAAATACGCATATACATGAAAAAAATTGTAGTGTATCTCATGTTACTTATTTTCCAAAATTTATATAATATGTAAGAATATGTTTGTTTATTTATTTAAACGTACATGGAAAACGAACAACGAGATTTATCATGAACTATCATATTGTTTCGTGTTTTTAAAGCCAGCTGGGTAAGTAGGTGATCGTTTGATAATTGACGTGTTGGGCGAAAAATTAAAAAAGCAAGTCAGCTTTACCATCACAGTTATATTTTATATTGGTGATGGTGATTTGGCGTAAGAAAAGTGGTAATACTAGTATCATGATGAACTGTCTCCCACAATACACTAGCACGGGGGATGAGAAGGAGGATGTCATCAATGGCTCACGATTGATGCTGACACATTCAGTAAACTATTATTTATTAAAAACGAAAATAACTGAGACCGGGTGTTGATCATTTTAGTAGGCTACTAATCCAATCCAATATAGGCATGACAGCCGGCAAGACTCCAAGACAAAACCTCATCAAATGCGCATTGACAGTGATCCTCTTTCTTCCTTTTCCTTTTTTCTTCCTTTCTGCTGTCTCCAACGGAAGCAAATTTGTGCAACAAAAACGTCAAATGGTCGTCACGGCCAGCACAGTTTGAGGGCAACGAGCTAGCATATAAACACAGACGGTCATAACGGCAGTAATTGTTACTTGGAAAAATAATAATGTGATAATGGCAGGTGATCAGGTTGCGATTAAATGACATGGTGTGATGGTTGAAAATAATAAATAATAGATTTAAATAGAAAAAAATGAATCATGGTCATGTCTAAGAGAAGATAAAATTTCATATTGAACAGAATAAAAAATAATTTATTCTAAACAGTCTTTTGACAACATCCTAAACAATTTTTTTTAATCATTCAATCAAGTCGATTAATTTAAATAATAGCCTAAAGATGGATTCTGATTAGATTAGGAACAAATTTAGTCGGCTCACGGAGGGTAGATGTTTTTTTCTCTTTGTGTGTGGGGACATGGAGGGTTGGTGGGTTACAGCCTTGCAGGGGATGAAACCCGAATATTACAAAGTCCTGTTCTATCTGACTCTTCAAAAAATATACAACCGAGCCCATTAGGCCCATTAGGGGGCGACTGGGATGATTAATGCCTAACTGCATATTCCAAGCATACTTAGCTTTCGACAGCCCGCGGGCCGGCGTCAAGCCAGCGTGAGACCATCGTGAACGGCGGTTTGACGCCTTCAGTTTAGTTTGCCCACTGTAAAGACTTTTCCAATGCTTTCTTTTTAAGAAGCTTAAACAAAATACTCTTTCCAATTCCTAAAAGACATCTTTTGATTATGTAAGAAATAAGCCAAATGTAATTCAATAATATTCATTTTAATTGAAAGGTAGTATTAAAAGGTAGTATGATAATGTTTTATTATTCTCCCGATAAAAAACTATTTCTAACTGTTTGGTCAAAAAGAGAAAAACTATTGCTAACTGATTTTTTTATTTACTTGTGAAGTCATTAAAAATATCTTATATTAAAAACTGAATAGAGCATTATTACCAGAAAGAAGTTAGGAGGTTATCGGTATGTTTTTGCTGATATTAAACACAATAATATAAAAAAAGCCTAAGATTCACTTTGAAGAGTTTGAAAACAGTAAACAGAAATCTAAAATCTGGCCAATATTTTTAGTATACATTAATTTTATAATATACAGCATATTGATGATGAATACATGTTTCTGGCGCAAGTGATGAAAAGGGTAAAAATGGAAGAATAAAAATGCGCCTGTTTCAGGAAGAGTGGGGAAGGAAGAACCGAAACCGAAAGAGGGAAAGGGGGATGAATAAAAAGGCGTTAGGGTGGTGAGAAAAGAGTGATGTGCTTGGATGCTCCGATCACATGGCTTCTTCTCCTCCGTCATATCAGACAGATGTTCCTCTGCCCTCTGCCTCTCAGCCTGGTACTCTCTCATTTTCCTTCTCTTCCGTCTCTTTTCTCAATTCACTCTTCATTTCACTTTTCCTCTGTTATTTTTTTCCTTCAAATTTCTAGGTTGAACATGTTTTGATAACGTTGATCGGTTTACAACATCGATTTCCTCAGTCTTCTACAGCTTCATCGGCTGTTTTTTCCCCCTAAAGATAATGTGGAATAAGCTCTTTACTAGTTGATAGCGTGTTTCCTTGAATCGTAATCTGCTGTTCTATAGAACCTAATTGGAACTCTGCCGTTGAATCGCACTGACTTGTTTGGAATTTCAATGGCAACTCAGGTAACAAGCTTCTGGTTCATGAAGATCGTTCTACTCCGGTTCCAATTCATATTGTCACCAGGGCATCTCAACTTCCAGTTGAATTCCTCCAACCCTCACCCCAAAAGCAACTCGTCATTGGTTTCGATTGTGAGGGTGTCGACTTGTGTCGCTATGGGGCTCTATGTATAATGCAGGTGCGCTATACTTGCTTGCTCCGTAAGCTTGACGAGAGAGCTTGCGTTATATGTACTGGAGTCGGATGTTAATGTTAATGTTATAATATCTAATTATGTAGGAGAGACTTATGTGAATGGAAATAACCTAAGTGCACTTTTCTTGTTTAGTCGAGACAGAAAGCAGCTATAAAAATGTTTGGCTTCAAATATGGTGATATAATACTAATTACCGCTTATAAATATCACATTACATGCTTCTGTTAACGGCGACACTATTAAGAAGGTTATATCAAGGATGTATTATTAATTCCTAGGTGCAGCACTTTCATGCTTCTCAACTTGCATCTTATTGTTTGAGACGGTCATTGTTTTTTGTTCTATATAATCTTGTAATTTGTAACCTTCTCTTTCTACATCCAGTCTTTTTGTATTTTTGTAGTCAGGACTCTCGATGAGTTCTCATCTTATTTCCGTGTTACCTACTAAGTTTTCATGTTCCTGCAGCTTGCATTTCCGGATGCTATATACCTGGTTGATGCAATCGAAGGGGGAGAGACGCTTATCAAAGCCTGCAAGCCTGCACTTGAGTCTAGTTACATAACAAAAGTGATTCATGATTGCAAACGAGACAGTGAGGTATCTGATTTATTTTATTACTTCATTGTAAGTTATGAATGTTGATAGATTTATCCTGCCATGTTAGCATTCCTACTCTACTTGACAATCTGAAGATTTAATAGACATGTTCTTGTTTCCTAGGCATTGTATTTTCAGTTCGGAATCAAGTTGAACAATGTGGTGGATACCCAGGTAAGCCTTGTTATTAACAAGCCAATTTTTCTCCCATTTTTGGGTCCATTATTGAGTCAAAGAACTCTATTACCTCCATTGTTGCACAAATTTCATATTGTAAGGACTCTGGAAAATTTTAGGAATGGTTCTGTGCCTATGGGGAGGAGGGGCTTTCTGATCTCAGCTAATGGCTGTTGTGAGAAGAATACTGTTCTAATTCTACTAAATCGGCTGGTTACAACTACATTTTTCTCTTGAACTTGAAGTTGAACTTCTTGACTTCTCCCTCCCTTAACATTACGTTTGTATTTCCAAAAAACGCAAGACAGGAGAGAGAAAATGAATTTTTTATGGAAGTATAATAAGTCTCTCTCTCTCTCTGTGATTTCCCTCCATCTCCATATTGTTAATATTACTGGGCCGAGCTAAGTTTCTTGCCCTAACATCTAATATGGTGATGTTTCAAACTATTGATCTTTTGCTCCTTGAGTTAATTCTTATTTTACCTTTTGCTTTGTTTCAGATTGCTTATTCACTGATAGAGGAGCAAGAAGGACGGAAGAGATTGCCAGATGACTACATTTCATTTGTTGGCCTCCTTGCAAATCCGTATTATTGTGGTATCTGTTAGAAGTTTATCTTTCTGTTAGGGAGTTTATTTTACTTACCAATTTAAGTTAGGTGCAGATTATTAATAATCCTGTAGGTTCCTTTGAGTCTTTTGCTTACTCCTGTCATACTCACTTTTACGGTTTGAAATGTAGGTATATCATATGTTGAGAAAGAAGAAGTTCGCATCCTACTTCGTCAGGTTGGTTTTAACCACATTCTTATGTATTCAGAAAAAGATACGATGGCAGCTCAATTTTGTTCCTTGAAATTGGTGGTGTAACATTGATATTGGGGCAGGTCATATGTTTGATTTCTTCATGTGATGTTATCACTAAGGTTTGATTTGATACAACATATATACAGCATATAGTACTATGCTGTGACCTGTGATTGAGGAATGCTGGGAATTATTGAAGCACATGTAAAAAGCAGTAAACACTAACAATCTTAATCATGCAATTTCCCGATTTTCCTGACTGGAAACTTCACCTTTATAATCTATTTTTTATAATGATTTTTCTGTTCACGTCATTTAAAAAGAATGTGTGACTGATGTCTACGTTTCAATCTATCATGATGTCATCTATTTACATTGTTTCTTTAATTTTATATCAGGACCCCAAGTTTTGGACATACAGGCCATTATCTGAATTAATGGTCCGTGCAGCTGCTGATGATGTCCGCTTTCTTCTCTACATTTATCACCGGATGATGGAGAAATTAAATGAACGGTCGCTATGGTATCTTGCAGTTCGTGGTGCCCTCTATTGCCGATGCTTTTGTGTCAATGCCAATGATTATGTGGACTGGCCTTCTCTACCTCCTATTCCAGGTATAAATTTAATTCCTTGTTCTATAATTTGGAACTGTATCTCCAAATAGACAAACTATAGTGCTAATTGCCTCCAAATGCTTACAGATTTTTTTCCCACTAGGATTTTTAGTTTGAAATATTATTTGTCACTGGTGATCTTTGGCCAGGTAATGGTATAATTTGAAGGTTATGGTGTTTTCAAGTTTAAGCCTAATTGTTATGACTAAGGAGTCTAATGTGCTGAAATTTGCCACAAAAATGGTGAGTATTTTCAATCCTCTGGTTGGTTGCCACTGAAAATGAAATAAGGTCTGAATCATGAACTCCATTTAGGTTGCAATTACTTGGTGGAAAATTTGCCTTTTTGTAGATCCATTTATTACAGATGACTCTTCTAGATTCAGGAAGAATAGGTTTTTGTTTTAGCTAAATTTTGTCTGCTATGTTTTTAAGATTTAAGCCGCTGAGTCCAGAAAGTATATGATTTTTGGCTCTCTTATTTAAGCTGCTATAACTAGCAAGTTGATAGATGTGACTGAAATAAATGACGGAGTGTACAGTTATGTTAATAATTACTAATTCATGCGCTTATTTATTAGATAAGTTGACAGTGGATGGAGATGCTCCTGAGGAAGAAATCCTTTCGGTCCTTGATGTTCCCAAGGGAAAGATGGGACGTGTTATTGGGAGAAAAGGGGCGACAATTTTGTCAATTAAGGAGTCCTGCAAGTAAATATTCTGTTTCCCTCCTTCCAGTAAATAATAGTTTTTAAGAAGCACTCTTGTTGGTTTTAACTTTTAAATGCATTTGGTGGTTCAGTGCGGAAATTCTCATTGGAGGTGCGAAGGGGCCACCTGACAAGGTTAGAATTGAATTTCCATGCCATGTAATTGGCATAATTTCTGACACGATATTGATTTGTTACATATTAGTCGTCATGAGGTGTAATCTTGAAATTTGTAAACAACAAGCTTTATCCTTAGAATCAGTTGCATGGATCACATGGCACATTTCTACCTTAACAACCATTCACCTAACTTTCTTTCTTAGTGCCTTTATCGGCCTTCTTTTTACACTTTCAAACCACCTCGAACAATTCTTTGCTATTTTTTCTCAACAGATACCGTGCCAAGTTTTCTTTATAAATATATATATATATATATTTTTGTTATCTTTTCATGCATGACCATACATCTTAGTACTCAACTTCTTGCTCTTGTTGTCTCTTTAATCAATGCTTAATATTCACCACTTTATTGCATTTCTGACCTTATTTGCAAAAAGAGGGCTCAATGATGTTGGGATTTTTGTTTTTACGTATGGCGGTGGTGAAGACTCGCAGCTGATTTTATTTCATGGAAGTATGCTAACAGTGTTATTTGGATTTCTTGGAAAATATCTAAAGTTGGTTATTCTGAAGTGTCTTTTATGGTTGTGAACTTATTATGATCTTCTCTTGTGGCTGTGGTATTATCCCACTTTTTTGACCCCCCCCCCAAAAAAAAAGAGAGAGAGAGAACATTTTGCGCTGAAGAACTACTCGTCTATTATGACTGTCCATGTCTATTTGTGCAGGTTTTTATCATCGGACCAGTGAAGCAGGTGAGGAAAGCAGAGGCCATGTTAAGGGGTAGAATGTTGGATGTGTAGGGAAGAAAAAAACGATGCTTCTGTTTGGACGGAACATATTAAATAAGTTGGAGTCTTTTTGAGCATATAAATTCTACCAATAGTTGGAGTGGGGTGGGGTGTCGGGTATGACTAAAAAATTAGAACCAGGTTCGGGGTCTGTGATTGAGTCTGAAAAACTTACACTTCGGTTTACAACTTAACGAATGACATATCTCAGAGAGGCTCTTCGATAACGGCTTAAAAGCCGTATACAAGGTTTGGGCAGGTGATAGAAGTCTCGCTATTCTTTTCTCACCACATCCGCATTCATTTTCACTTGTGCCTTTCTTCTTTTATCCTCTCTCTATCCTTCTATATTCGAAGTATTTTGGAAAAAAAATATTTGAAATTTCTTATCTTCTTACGGTTTGATTTATTCGATCAAAAATATTATAAGCATGTGATGGTTTATTTATAACATGACACATTTCAATTTCGAAAGACATTTATATGATCATCTAATTAAACAGGGTTTGACCAAAAAAAAAAGTTAATTTGACGTAATAATGATATGAAAACCTGTATTCAAGTAGTTCGCCTGGGTTCTCTGGCCAAAAAAGAGTAGTTCGCCTGGGGCGTCCAACATAAAACTCAAAATAATCCCAACTGATCATATCTGTGGCCCGTTAAAATGGTTCACCAGGGAAAGGTTATATTTAAAAATTAAGATTAAAGGTCAAATAAGAATATTTTGATTTCGAACTATTTGCAAAATCAATTTATGAATGAATAAAGGGTATTTGGTCCATGAGAATAAGCCTAACAATTATATAAAGTTTGCAATCATGTATGTTTACATCTGATTAATCCAATGTACAAAGTTATTGTAAATATTTCTGTGAAAAGTTTTGAGTTTCAATACATATTAATGAGAGAAAAATGTGGGTTTTGATGTTTAGATTGCAGCCAACTTAAGGTATAAGTAGCTTTTTTTTATTAAAGAATGAAACTTTAGTTTAAGGCTTTTGCAGATGACGGATCAATAATATAATAATAATAATAATAATGTGTTGTTGATATGCTAATAATATTTTGCAATAATACCTTTTAATCAAAATTAGAATCGATTTTTTTAATGAAAAAACAAAATGAATTTAATCTAAATTGACCATAATTCTAAAAGTTAAAAATTACTCCCTCCGTTCCTTATTATAAGAGACAAATAACCAAATTACGTTGATAAAAAAAACAGTTAAAATTAGTTGAGGACAATTAATGTGTAAAAAGTGTAATATTTTTTTCAATAATGCCCCTATTAATAAGGAGAGAGTATAAGAGAGAACAATTAAATTATTAAAAGAAAGAGAAGTGGGAGGGAGAGAGAGTATGAGTTGGAGACAAAATAAATACGGGTAAAATAGAAAATCAATACACAAAAACTAGAGACAATTTTAAGTGTCTCTATATATGGGAACATGCCATAAACATCAAATGTCTCTTATAATAAGGAACGGAGAGAGTATTTATATTTTTCTCTTGTATAAAAAAGCATGTTTCCCAATGAATAAATGCACACGTACACCAAGAATGTAATTAAAGATGCGTGATTTTTCAGTTGACACGGTATTTGCGCTCGTAATTTCTTTCCGAGCTCATTGATGTTAATAAAGGTTCATAATTAATCACCCAGAAGGTAAACTAGTCACAGGACAGGTGGAAGTTGGAACAAGGAATTTATTTATTTTATTTCAAAATAAAGCTTTAAAATGTTTAAATAATCCTGTTTACGGTCTTCAAATGTGAGTTGCTTAATAAAGTGCAGCCTTTTTACCAAGATTTAAAGTCTTATATAAATACAGAGATATATAAACAAAATGCTTCTTTTTTTTTGGCCATGCATAGTTATGTTCCTATTAAAGATTTGAAGCATTAAAGAGCACTAAATGTGAACATCTCTTCCAGTAAAAATTTGAATATTGATTCACTACATTTTAAAGGACTAATCCTTCCGTTAAATCCAACTCTCATTTGTAAAGGCTTAGTGCCTATTTGGAGCCACGTTCAAGTGGCTTTTAAGTAACTTTTGGCTTTTAATATGTTTGAGTGTGCTTGGAAAAGCTTATGACAAAATTATAAAATTAAGCCAAAAGCTAAAAATTACAGCTTATAGAGTTGGAAAAGTGAAGAGAGAAAGACAAAATGTGGGTTTCTTTTTTTTTTTTTTACTCAAACAAACTTACTTTTACTTAATCATAATCCAAACAACTTTTTACCAATCTCACTTTTGTAAACTAATTTTTTAAAATTCCAATCCAAACACAATTCACCTTATCCAATTTAACTTTTTCCCAATCTTATTTTTCTAAAAGTCATATTAGAAATAATTTCTTTTTTCTACTACCAATCCAAACAGACTAGTTATTTAAACCGCTGCTTTTGTACCCTTCAACCTTCATTTATAAAGGCTTAGGACTTATTTGGATTGACTTATAAATAGTTTTTCAAACATGATTTATAAAATACGAAGTAAATATATGAGAAGAATTTTGTTTCGGTTTATATAAACTTGCTTAAAAGTCTATTTTGAATGGAACTCTAAACAAGCCTTTAGTTGTTTAAACCGCTACTTTTGTACCCTTCTTGCCACCCGAGTGCAATCTGAGCTGATATGACATCTTGAGACTGGATTATGACTCAATTTTAAATCCCATTAGAACGATATATCATATATATGAACAAACCCAGCAAGTGAAAAAGTGAATAGGAAGCGTTGATTATGTCAATAAAAGTTTGTTTATTTAATAAGGAATTATTGGTAAACAGATTATAGGTACCTCTCTAAACATTTTTTTGGATCTAAAAGCATGTTCTCATCATGATGAGTTCTTAAGATATATTCGTATGATCCTAAATATAAGACTCACTTTCAAGTGTAAATTATATTATAAAACGAGTATTATATTTAGGATGAAACAGAAGTAATTCACTTTTTTGGACAAAGAGAAGAAAGGAAAATAAAAGAATTATACTTTTGGGTACCCAAATTGATATTGTTGGCTGCTAAAATATGAGAAAAAGTCGGGGCGTCCCGCTTGTTGTAAAGGTGCGACTCCGGACCTGATCCCGTAAGAATTAGCTCAATTAAGGCTTTGTTTGGTTCAAGGACAGGGGATTAGGTAGGGGAGGGGAAGGGAACTTGCATAAGAGGGGAGAGGTTTATAAATTGACTACCATTATCTCTATATTTAGCTAATTTCACCACCATCAATATATCCCACATGTTATATATGTATATTCATATGATATGTATACATTATATCAAATATTATTAGTGGCTAAAAAGAGAAAAAGTGAGATTTTTAACAACTTGGATATGTATGGGTGCAATAGTAGATACTCTCCCCTCCAAATTTGGGGAGCTGAGGGAGGGGAGCACTAAAGACAAATTTCTTCTCCCTCAACCAAACACACATATTTCCTCCCTTCCCCTCCCAACAACCCTAACCAAACAAAGCCTAAGATAGCGGCATGAGCCTCAGTCGTTTTCACCCAATCCATCAATTCAAAGATGCCCACATCAGCTTCAGCCACAACTAATTGATCAACAAAAGGATCAACCCTGTTCTTGTGTGCGAACTCAAATGCAGCTATCACAGTTACGTTCTGTATACTAGACGACCTTCATACTTAATTTGGATAATATGTTCGCGGCAACACAAGATATTTTGAACTCAAAGGAATGAACAAAGGAAGGCTGAAAACCATGCTGATCAGAGGTCATGTCTCAGCAGTTCAAGACTTTGCAAATGTAAAGCTGAACCTCAAATATGCAAGCATGCATCATGCTCATCAACTAACTATTCCATCGTTCTCAGTATTATCTCATTCAACTAGAAAAGGAAGAGCAAGGATCAAAGCCTAGCTTGGATGAAAGGTATTTCCTGTCTTTGGAGAGTCATAAACTATTTAAGTTACATGTACTTTTTTTTTTCCTCCTTTTTTAGCTAAACATCCTTCTATCAGAAGCAATCATATTCGAAATACTAACAGTCACTAAATATAGATTTCGCCCTGTAGGAATTTAAATTTTGATTTACTACATTGTGAAGAACTAATCCCTTATATTACATCCAACCCCACTAGTAAGTGAAAGTTACATGTGCTTCTATTTTGTATTTAAGGTCAAGGTTGTGGAGTCATTAATACTTTTTCATATAGTAATTTGATTCGGAAATGTACTTTCCAAGTTTCAGTCAAAGTTGGACCTCTAATTTCTTTTTAGGAATTATACAGAAGCGACTTGTAGTTTCACATTAATTCAATTCAACTACATCTTGTCCCCTAATTTTTGGATGGAATTTTTCCCATGATGCTATTGCTGCTCAAATAAGTTTCACCGTCTCACGCAATTTCATGCTTCTTCTCAGTCACCATCATCCATATTTTATTTTATTTTATTTTTTTTCATCTTAGATGTCGACACAGTTGCATCCGAAACAAGTTAATAATTAAATAATAGAATATACCACTTGATAAGTATACTTGTTAAGAAATATTTGTATTTTTACTCAACAATTATTTTTTATTACTTTTTAGGTTAAAGTATACTTTTAGTAATTTAACTTTATGTAAGGTTTCAGTTTGGTTCCTTAACTTTAAAAAGTATACTTTTAGTCCTTTAACCCTAAAATTATTATTCTTAAATAATAATTTTTTGTAACAATTATGGTTGTTTTAAAAAATTAAACTTCATATTATAGTAATATTTTATCAATATTCAAGAGCTCAATATCATCGTTCTTTTGTTAATGATTCTAAGGTTAGAGGACTAAAAGTTTATTTTTTTAAATTAAGGGATCAAAATAAAACTTTATGTAAAGTTAAAAGACCAAGAAAATACTTTAGCCTACTTTTTACTCAAGAACATATATATGACACTTCACATTTATTTTATTTTTTTTAATGTTATCATCCTTCTCTCCTCACTCTATTTCGCCAGTCAGAAGATTCCTCATATATACGGATTCATCAATTTGCTTTACTTAACTCGAAAGTTGAATTTCCAATTTCCACCTTATTGAAGTGAAGAAATCGCAAGTGTGTCTGTTTTCTAGTTGTTCTTAGTTTTTTTCAAAAAAATATTTTTTAAAAAGAGAAAACAAATCAAGTAAACGAATCAGGGTCGGATCCTTGAAACTCAGAAGGCTTTTAACTTCATATAAATAAATATATATATTTATATCTTGTGTGTGTGTGTGAAAAAGAAACAGACGACAAAATTCTCATTTCATGTGTTTCAATTTAAAAACTTATCTTAAGTTGCGGATTAAACTTGTAAACTGTCCTACGTATATTATAAGAACAACAACCAGGTATTCCATCCAGATCTGGACAAATTATTTCGTCTTATATTATAATAACAACATGTTTGTAGTTAAACCTTTTTCCCCTGGACAACAATATAATGTAGTTATCAAATTAAAGCAAATTAAATGATTAACGTTTATTAAACGTGGATATAGACAAATTGTTTCGTCTGCTGGTAACACGTTCTGCGAAACGTGTCTCTCCGCCCGTCAACTTCTGTGCATTCATGTAGCTATTGGAGTTGAAGAGAAAGAAAACAGAATGCGATGACCCTATCTACCGTTCCAATTAAAAAAATAAAACCGGAGAGCACAGGAAAAATATGTTCCGTTCTATTTATCGTATTTTTGTGCATTAAAAAAAGGGATAACGATGATGATATAATTTAATTTAGTGTATATATATCTGGACTCGCAGTCGAAAATGATATTTATTTCCCTTGTTAACTAAAAAGATAAGGTTATTTTAGTATTTCTGACAGCCCACATGTTGAAGGAATGCCTGTTTAGAGAAAAAAGGAATATGGGGTAAATCCTGTGTTATTATGACAATATATATGTCTCTCTTCTGAAAGTTGCTCTGGGCACAGGAATATTCATCCACACAAATAACGCCATGGAGAAGCAAATGGCTGACATTATGCGACCAGGTCCCTTAAATTCCTAGGTACAGACATTAGAAGAAACAAAGTGTCTGGCCAACTTTAGAGAGGCCTTTCCTCTCCTCTCTTTTTTTTTTTTTTTTTAATTTATACCGCAAAACCCCCATAACTAAGCTAGCTATCCATTTAATAATCATCCTGATTTAGCGCTTTGGATCGGATTTGTATGTCATCGATTTATATAAATACAAAAGCACTCTTATTTAATCAAGTGGGCTGCGATTAATTGAAAGCAGTGTCACTAGCCAGTGAAGTCAAATATATATGGCATGGTTGGCACATGCACGAATAGCAAATGAGTAAATTAATTTTCTTTTGGCCAGAGACCTAAGATTCCCCCAAACACATATGGTTAAAAGTCATATTCTGTGGCCTTGACTCGAAGCAAATATGGCATATTTTAAAGTGTGGGGTGACAATTATAATTATGTGCTTTCGAAGACTTTGACCATAAGCAAAAGTTTAATTAAACTCCCTTTGGTTAGAGATTGTTAGATAGACAAAGGTTTCGTACTGAATAAGCTGAGGTGTGAACAATAAAATAAAGAGTTTGTGATGGAAAAGGATGCCGACCTCTCTTGTGTTCGTCTGCCTTCTGAGCTTGTTTACGCTCATGTACGAGTACGAGAGGGAAATTAAAGATACATCCATGTCTTTGAATATATTTGAATTTGCGTTACATTTAATACTATGGGCTTTTAATTTCTGTGTCTGTCGTACACACACACACACACGAGCTAGCTGCAGAGTTGTGAAGGATGATAATTAAAATTATTATGAGGGCTGAAAATGCATCACGAGGGAAGCGAGGAGAGAGAATCTTCCTTCTTCTTTTTTTTTTTTTTTTTGGGGGTGTGAGAGGGACATAATATTGAATTATGAGATTTGAATTGGCCTCATATATAGCTCCATGCAACTTTCGTGACCACTGACCAGCAAGGAACTGGCCAACCTGCTTATGTCATCCCACTCTTTCGAACCCAAAAAACAAAGAGTAATTAACCTCGTCTAGTGGACCCCACATTGACATTGTCCAAAACATGCATGAACCTTAACACAGAGAGAGGCAGAGTGTTTACTAAATAATCTTTGATCTTTCTTATATGTTCCAATCAAACTTTGACCTGCCTAGCTACATTATATGTCCATGTCTATGAACACACGAGAACTGCTAGTAAATTATAAATCACACACAGGAACTAAGTAATTGTAAAGATGTCAGCTTCTCCTCTCTCCCCCCCTTCTGAGTCGGGTGTTAATTAATCCTCCTTTTTGAAACTGTGGTTAATGCTAATTAATCAATAACACCCTTCAATTTCGTCCCAGCGGCTTCATGTCAGCATAGCCAAAATCAACCAACTCGTGAGGATAGAAACTTGAAGCGAATTCACCAACTTTCTCTTGGGAGGTGTAAAAGCCACTATTGACGAAGTCAGAGGGAAATCCAAACCCCAAGTTCATTAGCAATTGGGTTGCTTCGTCGCCGCCGCCAGCATGATCCGGCAGCGATAGACATTTGTTCTCCGTTGTTGCAATTAAAGATGAATCCGAAATGCTTGAACCTTCCTGAGACAAGGACATCATGCTTGAGCTTGCGTTGATTTCTGAGACATCAGTGAACCCTGGACTGTATAACTGAGTTGGGTCAAAAGTGATCATGCCGTGATAAGTGTTAATGTGAAACCCAGAATTAGCGTCCGTCAGGATAGGCAGAGTTGAGGAAGATGATGAAGTGAGGTTTTGCGAAGCAGTAGGAAAATCGCAATTTTGGTTTTGGATTTGAACATTATGAGTCAGTAGTAATGGGGTGGGAGGAAGAGTAGTAGTGTGAGTGTCGGTCACTGTTTTGAGGTTCACTTTTCCTGTCATTAGCTTCTTCTTTAACTTGGTGTTCCAGTAGTTTTTCACGTCATTGTCTGTTCTGCCAGGAAGCTGAGAGGCTATGGCAGACCATCTGAAGAATAACAAAAATTCACGATACTAAGTTAATTAAGAAAGACTTTTTAGTAAAAGGGGAAATATGTATTGATGATATGGAAATATGTACCTGCTTCCCATTTGCCCGTAAAGGGTACAAATGATGTTGTCTTCTTCTTCAGTAAAGCCTCCATGTTTGATGTCTGGCCTGAGATAATTGAGCCACCGCAGACGGCAGCTCTTGCCACACCTCCGAAGGCCTGTGATGTAATACGAGGTCACTTGAGGCAAACGTTTGAGAATAAATAAATAAATACATCAGTCTAGTTTTTTTGTGAACATCAGAACAGAAAAATATGACTGCTTCTGGAAAAAGTTGCTGCAGAGGAGAACTCCCATCCTCCGCCTGAAACTACAGATACGCCGAAAAACTATTTAAAAAAAAACCAAAACAAAAAAAGCAGAGAGACAGAAGGCATATATGCCGAAAACGAGGTTTTCTGGCGGAGGCCTAGGAATCTGAGCAAATGGTTGTCCTGCTACGCAAAACAACACCATCTGTTGTGCAGGGTTATTTCAAATTGAAGCAAGAAACAATAGAACAGAAACCCTGCTCTGTAAATGGAATTCTCAACCTCACAGACTCATGAGTACCGTCAAAGAAGAAACGCAAACAAATTCGAACAACAGATATGGAAAAGGTGAGATGAAAAATTATAGTAGTGGATAAGGAAATAGAAAAGAGAGAGACCTGCTTTACGGGGCAATGCAATCCAATTACCACCAGTGCCATGAGTTTGGACATAAGTCCTGAGAGTAGCGTCTTCTTCGGGTGACCAAGGGCCTCTCTTAACATTGGCTTTGTCACAGCAAGGAGCTCTTCCCATGGCCTCTTTTAGAAGCAGAGCAAGAGAGATAGGAAGGAGATTTGGAAGTGAAGCAGGGACCAGTACTTATAAAACACAACGCTCGAGTGACTTTCTTTCACCAACGGGGGCGTCTGGTGAGAGTGGGGTTATAAGGTTGGATCCCCCTTACCTACGGCTTGACTTTCTGTGGCACACTCCTCTTTTGTTTCGCTCTCATCTTGTTTTAAGATCCAGCTTTTGTACGTTTTTTAACGTCTCTAGTAACTAAATAAATAAATAAAGCACAATTTGATGTTTGCTACTCTTTATTTTGCCATTTAAAATTTAATAACAAGTCTTTCAAAAATACTTTATTTGAGTCAAGTCAATAAAAGTATTCTTTTTCATCTAAAAAAATTGTAGATATTTTTTATTTAATTCTGTCTTAAATTAAGTCGTCCTCTTGTACTGCGCCACGCTTTCATTTTAATTATACTAATAATATGATATTAATTGGTATTAATAATTGTTTTTTCCCCTGATGATTGCTTCTTCTTCTTTTTTGTAAAGTTAGTTTTGTAGTGACAAAAATGCAAAGTTTGCTTTTCAATAAATAAATGCATACTAACAATACAGCTATATCTTAATTGCTGTTGTGTGTACTGCAATTGCCTTTTAAATATTGGTTTATACAATCCCACAAGTGTGATAGAACATACTAACAGGACACATTATAATTATTAATAAAATAGACTTTATATTTTAAAAACTAATAAGAACAAAATATGTAACTTGAGGCAACTTATATTTATCAAATTTGATCACTACTATTCAGAAGTTATTGATTTTCTTTTATAAAAACACATCATACAATATAGGAATTGATTTTATCAGTATTCAAAATTAATGTTTGCGGACCCTGCATTTAAAATTAAAAAAATGTACTAATAATTAGGTCGAAGAAGACAATTGAACTTGTGTTTTTGTCGTCTAATCTATTGTTTATCTAATAGCAACAATAAGTAGTAATAACTGTCCTAATAATTAAATTGTTTTATCGGTGTGCGAAGGAAACTTCTGCTCACACATTTTAAAAGACGGTCAGAGGCGGAACATTCAAGACACATTAATTTAACCCAATAAGTCCAAAAGAAAGAAAGAAAAAAGACATAAATCTAACGTCGTGGCCATTTAATTAAGTACAGTGGATGGCGACTTGTGTGAGTGAAATTGAAGTGGTTGTTAGAAACTTGGAAAATTACAGCGAGGGTGAAAATTTCAAAGGCCCTAAATGATGGTGCCGTGCTAAAGCTCTATGTTTATCCCGTGAAACCTTGAACTTTTCCGGGTTAATTTCCAAAGCCTCGGATAATTTGTTCGCAGGGGGATGTATCTTTAATGGCAACTGGGAAGAGCAGGGTGGCTGGAAATGTCAATGACCGGCTTTAATTCTAGCTCTCCAGGTTATTTTTCTTGGCCACCTTTTGACTTCAGGTTATCTGCCTTCTTGTTCTTTTTCTTCTCAACAACAAAAGACAGACAGCAAATATAATACTACTCCTCCGTCCTTAATATAAGACCTAACTAATTTGACTTTTAGTTTGGTCCTAATTATAAGACCCCAATCCATTTTGTCTCTCATATTTAATCATTTTTTTTTCAAGATAGTCCTTCTAATAATGATAGTTCTAGCTAACACACATTAGGGATATTTTAGATGACAACAATTGTTAAATAGATAATGGGTTTCTTCCTTAATCTCCTCAATTAGTCAATTGGTCTATATTAGGACCGGAGGAATATATATATTCTGACCTTTTTGACATTTGACCATGTTTTATTCAGATCCTTGAGGTTCTTAAACTTAATAATTCACTCTCCATTTAGCTCACAGTTAGCCCCTAATAAAGACGGAAGCGTACAGCGGAAGTGATGCCCCCATAGCTCTCAACGAACTCGACAAATCTGTGCATGTATAACTTGACGTACGTGTTTGAAGTGGCGCCAAATAAGAGGACGTCTTTTAAATGAGTATGACAATCGATACTATTCAAACCAAACAATAAAATGGATAGGGAATTTGGCGAAGGAGTTTCCCTGTGCTTAATTGTTAGCAGAGCTGTTGTGAACCACCTCCCATCCCGTGAGAAGCCATAACTGACGTACATGCATCACCATGCTGGGCTGCAAGAGGCACAAAATGGCCAGAAAGAATTGATTAAGAAATTGTTCAGATTAAGAAATTTGATTCAACGGACTTCATGATGTCGTCAAGGTTATTCAAACATCACGTTTCAGTTTTAGAATTCCATTTTGTAGTCTATGCTCTCAGTTTTCTTTTTTTCTTTTTTCTTTTTTATTTTAAAGAAAACCTATTCGTCCGTATACAGAGCGGGGGCGCCGGGGTCAATAGACGACCGCAGTATTGTTTTATGCATGCATAAATGTATAAACATACATGTGTGCGCGCGCGCGTATTTGGGTTGGCCCGACTTGCTTTGATCGGTAAAGAGGACGGTCCAGACCCGCCTCTGTGGGCCTCTCCCCCCCCCCCCCAAAATGTCTTGTACTGAATTTCCCCTCGTTCACCCCAAAGCATTATGATCATTCAGTTTGGAGTGGATAAATCAAAATCGGTATATACATTATAAACAAAATCTTATATTTAAATCGGAAATAGTATTTTATATAAAAGTGTTAAGCATATTTCTTAATTCTTACACTAATGTGGTACTACTTCCGATTCTTAATATTAGAACTAACTTAACATTCAGTTTGATCCTAAATATAAGACCCAATACATTTTGTCTTGTGTTTTATTTTTTTAAAAGTAATTTTTGTAGTTGTATATGTTAAATATTACATCAGATAATAGTTCTGACTAATATACATAATTAGCAGAGATATTTTAGGAAAGACAGCACATATTTAATACAAATAACTAACTTAATAAATTATCTTAATCTACTCAAATTAGTCAACTAACTTTTATATAAAAAACCAAAAGAATTACTATTTTCACAAAATGCGGACGGTAACATGGTAGAATCAAGGCCATCCAATAAATCTATTGTGCAAAACACATTTATCTCATCTGATGAGATAACGCAAGGGAGGGAAGCCTCCAAAAATCTTCACACCCATTTCTTCTTCTCAATTTGTTACCCTAGCATATTTGGTGTCTTTTGTGTACATATCTCTTCAAAATTCGAATGCTAAAGTTCAATTAGTAAATCTTATAATGTGTTCATTCAATTGTTGTTCTTCTTAAAGGTGATTGAATAAGCTTAAAATTATATATCCACCACAAGAATGAAACAGACAACAAAGTTACGATCATTCTTAATTCTGGAATTGGGCCATGTATCTTGTCATATGCCGCTTTAAGATTAACAGATGTTTGGATACTCCCATAAGTATTTTTTAAAAAGTTTTTTTTTTATAAATCTAAATAAACTCCTTCACATATTTATTTCGTATACTGTAAAATTACTTTTAAAATCATTGATTGTTTTCCATACTCAACAACTTAATCCTCAAGCCAATTGAAAAGTTAGCTTTAGACGACACTGCCAATTAAAAACTTTAAGAATGAAATTATATCATAAATAATTTTATGACACTAAATGCACATAATAAAATATTTTTAGATATTAGATGCGCTTAATCCTTTTTAAAATAGAGTGATAAAGTAAAAAAACTTAATCTTTTTCGTATATATTAAGCCAATGCATTATTGAGGACACAAGCATATTTAAATTAACAGATAATGCATAAGAAACTAACAAACTCTGTGTTTTTTAAACACATTTTATTATTGCAAAAAGTCTGATAACCCGTGCACCCTTCGTACCACAGGTTCCGTTTGGCTTTCTACCCGTTTGGTGCCTTCTAGCTACAGCTTACAAATACGATGCGCCCACTCATCGTGGTTAATGGCTTTGTGGGGAAAGGGGGAAAAACGCGAGTCAATAATCAACAAGGAAGAAAACGGGGTGATGATAAACGAAAAATAAATACTCCGATTCTTAATATAAAATTTTGTTTAACTTTTATTTTGATTTTAAATATAAGACCCAATCTACTTTATCTCTCATATTTATACTTTTTTTTCCCCCTAAAATAGTCTTTTTAATAATGGTAGCTTTAACCAATACACTTGATTAGTAAGGATATTTTAAAAAAGACAACACATATTTATTACAAATAACTAACTTAACTTCTTTTCTTAATCTCTTCAAAGTCAACTAGCTTTTATAATTAAGACAAGAAGTAGTACATTTTAAGAAAATTCAATAATAAAGGATTCATCCTTTCTGATAGCATAACATTCTCTATGATTCGCAATAATACTACCTCTGGTCCTAATTATAAAAGCTAATTGACTGATTTGAGGAGATTAAGAAAACAAGTTAAGTTAGTTATTTATCATAAATAGGTGTTGTCTTTCCTGAAATATCTTTGCTAATCAAGTGTATAGGCTAGAATTACCATTATTAGAAGGACTATCTTAGGAAAAATATATATATAAATATTAGAAATAAAGTGAATTGAGATCTTATATTTATGATCAAAATAAAAGTCAAACAACATCATAAATATAGAACCAGAGTTAGTACTAAAATACTGGCAATTACACAGTTAGTCCCCGTGCAGTGTTTTACTTCTTGTTTCCCTCCCTTTCAGAGTCAACAAGTCACTCATCCCGACCTCTCTTGCAGATAGTTGCTTACATGCATTGAGACAATACGCAATTGTTGGATTTTGATTTTTTGAGGGGGAAAAAAAGACCACGATATTTGCGGGAATGGTTCTTTGAAAAATACAAAAAGAAGTGAAGAAAAAAATAATACACGATGTCTTAAAGGCGTGTATAGTACTTTTCATTATAGAATACAAGTTGAGTTGACGGACGAATTTCTTTTAAGATACAATAAAAATCCTTAAACATGGGTTGTACTTTTAATATTCAAACCAAAACAATAATAGCCTTTGCAAAGTGATCATTTATATGTGTCTCTGTGTATACTCAAAGATAAAGAGAATGAATTTAATTTTAATATGTTTGTATATTTGTGTTATGTGCACATGAAGTAATGATGAAAGGGGTTTACATAGACCCTGAAATGATACCTTGAAAATATGTCTTTTGAAGTAATACCTTTTTAATTAAAAGTTACAATCATATATTAATTCATAAATCAACATAATTTAAATAACTAAAAATATTTAATATCCTGAAGAGTTACGGTACAATTTGTTATTGTATAGCATAACTTAATTATGTCCTCATAACTTGTAATTTAAATTTTTAATCAAATGCTTTTCGATCATCATCCAGTCCATTCCAAAATTGAGATTCAAGAAATTTTTATATTCAGTCAATATACATTAAATTTGTCAATTTAGTGATTGTAAATATTAAGACGTGTTCATGAAATATTGCCGCACGAGGCAGAAGCAGAGACAGGGGGATTTAGGGAGCCACTGTTCCCTGAATATTTTAATTTTTTTGCCTCACACAAGATAAAAATTTATGAAAAATTCACATGAGCTAAAAAGTACGTGCATTCGACATCTGTTATTGATACTTGATAGTGACAAAGCTATTACCAATTGAATATGGTGGAAAAATCCCTTTTTATTGTTTGTTTAAAAATTGCCCATCTTCATAGTAGAGATGCGATATTTTGACTGAAGTTATCACTTCAGTGAATAATTCAATTATAGTTAAGAGTTTTTTTGGGTTCCTAATGAAGTAAATTTTGTAATTAATTGGACGGGTCGTCTGTCAACCAAAGAATAAAAAATATATTTTTAATTCCCACAAATTTCTGACACAGTTGTTATGAAAATTTGGATCTTTGCATATAAGAAGCTCAAATTAATCTAATTCATATTGGAATTGACTCTTTTCTTGATCGGAAAAATCTGAATAATAAAAATTGTTTTGACAAGAATGCAAATATCCCGTACTCAATAATCCATAAGAATTAAAATTAAAGATTTTGTTAAAAGAGTTTTAATATGAAACCATCAAATGAACAAACTTTGGTTGGTTTAAGACAAAAGTTGTTCTTACATGCTTTGATCAAAATCATATTTTACTTTTAACTAAAATTAATGACAATGACAAGTTATGGTAAAAAAAAAAATGTGCGCGTGTGAATCGTGGAGCGGAACACTTCAAATGAAACCACACAAATGACACAAACGAACTCGCCTCAAATAAAATTGTTCAAAGGGCGGTCCCATCGTCCATATAGGAAAAATTTTAATTAAAATCTCAACCTAGATGTCTCACCTTCCGAAGGCAAGAGAAATAAATTTTAATCACTGAGATAAAGCAATCGACAAAATTAAATTTTAATCCATTTAAGAGGATATCTGCCTCATTCTATGAACATACTTTCTTTTTTCCTCTACTTTTTGTTTAGTGAGATAAGTATTAACAGTTTTACCTATAAGGGAGTCTTCATACTACTGCTAAATCACAAAGTTCTTGTCTGTCTTTCTTTCTACTTTAATTTAACCCCATGCCTAATTTTCAGCCATAAAAAAAAAAAATAAAAAACTCTAGGCATCATATCATGTTCATGCACCAGCCGCCACAAAAGTCACAACACGCCAATGACAATCACAAAACACATGGTGATGTCTCAAATTCGAGTACGAGCGTCCAAAAGGTAACACCAAAATGAAATTAAACTAATAAATTATTGTTATAAAAAATATGATTAATTTATTGAATGTGGATGCTGGGTTACTAGTAACTCGCCACCAAACACCCTTCGTCCGTGGGTTCAGCTGGTGAAAGGGTTAGACACTCTCACCAAAGGAAGAGGATTCGATCCTAGAGAGTGTCACTTTGTTGTGGCTCCAGTCACAGCGCTGGAGGAGGTATCACCACAGCTAAATGGAAGCGACCTCTTCTAGGGCTAATTCCCATGTGGTTAATGCTCTTTAACCAGGGAGAGGTGGAGGCATGTGTACTCTCCTGCCTAGTTCGTAAAGTCGTGGAAATCTAACTCTTGGATCGTGGGTGAGCCCGACCCCTTTCCTAAAATTTGTGTATCAAAAAAAAAAACTCGCCACCAAACAATCCATAATGAGACAGTTGCTTAATGATGAAAGCATATTTTGATTTTCTCAAGAGGGGGATTAGGATAACGATAGGATTTGGGATTGAGATGGAAATATAATAAGAATGGCAAATCTTGGGAGCAGCACGGCACTGGAGAATCTGCCAGGTCCAGTAAAATTTCCTAGTCATGAAAACGTGGTCGGACTATGACTGAATTGAGAATCCACCGTCCGACTTTGTCTCTTGCTTCATTCATTCCTTGGACCCGACCCTTTTCTTTATCGCCATATTCATTTGTCGTCTGCCTTACGCTTCACTGCTCATCAAAGTGGGACCTTTGAGTCCAAAAAAAAAAAAAAGTGGGACCTTGCTTTACTTGAAGGGCCCCCCTCCTGAAGCAGCTTTTCATCCTTGACCACATATTGTCTCCTACATGGATTTTATCGAACCTCGAATTATATTAAAGGATCTCTGAGGACCAAGTGGCATAAAGTGGATAAGTTTGAAGATATTTTATGGGGTGGATAAGGGTTGCTGTGTCAGCTTCACTATCCACGCTTGCACTGCCCATCTGATCAGATCTCCTTTCAGATAAACTCGATCATCGCTTCACGATTTTATATACTAATGTTCTTCTCTTTGGGTAGAGAGCTGGCATTAATATTCTGTTACCTCCTTCTGACCCCAAAAAAAAAAATTCTATTACCTCTTCATTATCACCACCATAATCCTTATCCTTTCTTAATAACCAAGGAACGTTTGGCTTATCAATACTTTTTTTTTTTGATCCGCCAATTGTAGTTAATGCCATTCCTTCTATTGAAAACACCGCCATATGGCCATTGAATTACCTCACCTAGAAGGTGATAATGTGATTGCCGTATGTTATTTAATTAGATGCCCAGTTTCACGTTCTTCCTTCATTTCCCGTATGATCGCAGCATATAAAACTTTTGAGTTCTGATAAGTTTACTAGCACCGAGTCACTGACCAATATTATAGCCGAAGAAGAGGGACCCAATAAACTAACACGTAGATGAGGAAAGAAAGCCTCAACAGAAGGGCATGGATAACCAGCATATAAAATTGGACCCAAGAAGAGCGAGTTAAAAGTGTATCAGAATCTGAGCTCAAAGACAAACACCGGCTTTTTTTCTTCAGCAGAAAACGATTTGTCTTAATTTGTCATGAGGAGATCCAATCTTCCCACACGTCTCATGGTATCATGAATCCAAACAATCAATCCAACAACATTTTATACAAAAGATTTTCTCCTGGGACATCTATATTCCCCATCACCGACATACTTCTAAGAAAAAAGTATTCGCCTGCAAGAGAATACATTTCTTCACCGACATGAAGATATGAACACACAAAAGATACACGGTAACATGCTTCCCACATATTTGGCAGCCCGAAGAAATCAATCGTACAGAGATTGTTGAAGCTTAATGTTTTTTTTTCCCCGAAATAAAAACCACGAAACAGGGGGAAAAAGCCTCTTCTTGACTTCCTTCCCAACTATACACAGAATTTTAAGATAATCAATACAGATCTCTTCATGTCAGAACATTCCCGAAAGCTGTGTGTCGCTTCGCCCAAATGAATTCTCCTTACAGAGCTTAGCGTACATTTTGGCTCTCAGTTCTCTTCCCGACTCGACCCTTTCCATGGCAGGTTCTTCTTGGCGGCTTTTATCCCACACGTCCAGAGTATCAAGCCCAGATTTCGTTACCGTACGATTCGGAGTCGAAGGAAGGCTAAAAAACCCGGGTCGGAGGTTCGAACCGCGGGGTGAACCAAACACCACACCCATATGGATACCATGCCCATAAGGCGAACCGAACGCACCGCGCACATGAGGAGCACGAGTTGAAGGCGACTTATCACCCTGTACATCACACATTGAGGCGCTTACTTCACTCCAGCCGTGTCGGGGATTTCCGGGCGATGTGGGCGGAGACTCGGCCAATGAAGAGATCGGCGAAGGCTGGAGAACTGATGTAGGCGATGAAACGAAGGAAGCGTGACAAATCGGCGAGCCCTCCGATGATTCGCCTGAGCCACTAGCAAGGAACCGCAATTGTTCCGGAGTGTGAGCGAAGAAGCACACTCGGCGGCGACAGTTTGTTCCGTCCTTGCAGAACTGGGTTCTGTAACGAGAGGGGTGAAGCCAGCATTCAAACACTCCGTGAGCAAACTCGCACGAGTCACCTTTCTTGCAGTTACCTCTGCGAAACTCGGGGCATGAGGTGCCGGAATAGTGATATTTCCGAGGGTCTCTCCGGCGAGCCTTTTCGCCGGGATGGGCGTACGGACACTCCGTCCAGTCATGTGACCGGGAACGCGCGCATTTGCGGATCTTAAACTCGAAGATGCGGAAATGATCACTGGAAAAAGCATCAAAAGAAGAGTCGAATTCTTCGCAGAGCGAATCCAGATCAATGGGAGTCAGATCACTGGAAAGAAAAGGGTGGAGAGCGGTGGAGGAATCGATGGAAGGTGGATAGTCACAATCACCGGCATTGCCATTTAAGTTGATGGCTAAACCATCAACGGGCAATGCGATGGTTAAATTATCCGGCAAGTTCAACTGAGAACTCTGGAAGTTCGGGGCCAAGCAAGCTAGTTCTCCGATCACCATTTTTAGAGGAACAATACTCAGAGTGGTGAGTCCTTAGATGAGAGATTGCAGTAGGTAGGTGTCGGAAATATAAACTGCAGCGGGGTGGAGAAGACGTGAGGTGGGTTTGTTTAACCGAGGTTAAGTCCAACTATGGTTTAAAAATATCTAAATCCACCCGCCCCATGCCAAGCTTATTCTCCTAGAATTGGATGGGGCTGGTAAATATTAAATTGGCTGGCAAAATAAAAATATATATTAATTTTTAATCCATATAATAAAATTTAATTTTTTTGAGATAAGTTTGTTAACGGAATCGGTTTTAATGCGGAGATGAGTGTCATGATATTCATTAAATCACAACCATTCAAATTTAATATGAATGGTTGGTGTTTAATATTTAATATTTTGTTTTTAAAAAAATATTTTTTAATAAGTATATATTTTAAAATAAATACAATATTTTTACTGTAAGTTTTTTTAAAAAAATTTATTTAAAAATTATTAAAATTAATTTTGAATGGTTTAGATTTTATTATAACGATAAATATCATCACACTTATTACTGTGATGAGTAATAAACTAGTTCAATTTATTACTAATCTGATTTTTAATATAAGACTTAATTATTAAGTTAATTTTGATTTTAAATATAAAACTATTTCTCATATTTATCATTTTTTTTAAAATTATTCATATAGATACTCCCTCAACCGTAATCAAGTAAAAGAGAGAGGAAGAATATTAAGGAAGATAATCATGATGTTTTAAAAAAATGTGTAATATTTCTTATAATTAACTAACTTACTTAATTTTTTTAATTTAATTAAATTAGTTAAATAAATTTTATATTAAATACTGAAAAAGTATTTGTTTTGTGGAAATAACCCTCTGCATAAACCTAAATATCAAAATTAGTTGTAACTAACACTGGAACTTTTGCAGCATTTCCCCTGTTTTCCATTAGAATGTCGGGATCCTCTGTTTTAAGTTTAAAATTAAAACTATGAGCTTCAGGAATTCTCGTTGCTTTATAAACAATTTTATATATGGGTTTGTATGGTACTTCCTCAGCCCTCTTTCCCCCCCCGGCCCCCCCCCTCCCCCTTTCCGCTAGAAGTAGGCATCCTCCTATTTTGGGTCTGTAAGAACGACCGAAGGCTTTTTATTTTTGGACTCAATAGAACGTCCGAAGGCATGGAGATGCATTAAGCAGACATGGGCCATATAACATACAGGCCCATTTCTCAATGTAATGTTCTTTTTCTTCTTTTTAATTAAGTTTTCTGCAGTTATAATGCTCTATGATTTATTTTCCGACCAAAACATATGATTGTTCTGCTTTAATTTTATTTGATAGCGCTATAAGCCTCGAGCGCAACCCTTCATTATTATGTTCGGGGACGATACTCGATTGGGTGGTATGTTATTATTTCTCCACCCCTATCGTGTTTTCAAGTTTTTTTCCCCATAGAAGAATATTTAAGCCCGAAATTGCATTAAAAATTAAATAGTGAGCAAATTAAATTCATCATCATTTTCAACATCGGGTAAACTGACTAGAACTCTCTCTGTTTTCTTTCAAGTATCAAAATATGTGTTCGTGCGTTCTTTCGGAAGACAAAAATATGTGTGTTTAACTGTGTATTAAATAATTTAAATTGTATCTTTGGAAAAATTGTAATAAATTTTAACGATATTTATTATAGCAAGCTACCATGCTAATAAGATGTCAACAATGCACCTCATGTCATGGCCTAAGTAGTGTATAAATACCATATTTAATGATATATAAATTAAAAAGAATTTAATGCACAATGCAAATTTTTGGGGTCCTTGTAGTTTTATTTCTGCATTATTGAAATATTTACTTACAGTTTACACAGTCCATTGTACTCCATGATTTTTTTCATTCTTCCAATTTTTTTATTGACATATTTTAGATACATCTGATTGTTAAAAAAGTGTGCGTAATCTTCAAAAGTTTTATAAATTATTTCTTCTCAAAGGCCTCTGATTTCTAACAAGTTTTAGCATCGAGTGCTCAGAAAGGAATCCCAATTACGCATGAAGATGTTTTTGGGCCAAATTTCAAGTTTTTGGTTCCCTTTTGTCTGGGCTTCAGGCACTTGCAATCAAGAGCTTGTAATTGAGAGCTTACAATGCGACCAATCAAAATTCAAATTCTTATTAAAAGAGATATTTAAATTTAGTGTTTAACAGTATCTTAAATAAGATTGACTCTAATAAAAAATACCTATGAATAGCAAAAATATATACTCTATATTGTATGACTGCTATGCATTCACTTTAGCGTTTTCATCAGTACTGTCACAACTTTTTCATGTCATTCTTTGACTGCCCAATATCCATTATCATGTAGGAGTACTGATGATCTTATGGCAATTCAACATACAAATGACCTTTTTTCATGGGAAAAAAAAAACTAACTAAATCATGTGAGAGTGTTCATTTTTCATTTTGTGAATCGTCAATTTCAATGTTTTGAGAATATGAGTTTCTGGTTCTAAGAGTGAAAAGGGCAAGTTAAACGTCCCAGTCCCCAGAGAAGAGGAAAAGGTAAAAGGTAAATTGTGCCACGCGTAATTTTCGTAGCCAGATGCCAAGAGTTAAATTGACTAATCAAATTTAACCTATATAGTTTTTAGTGTATAGATACGCTGCCATGAGTTTGTTTCGCATTTCTCTGATTTAAAAGAGTGGTTAATTAAGAAAATCTTGCAGTATATATGTCTTTGAGAGAAGTTAAAAATAAGCTGGCTAATAAAATTGAAAGTTTGCCAATTAATATTACTTAGCTTGAATGATTTCCTCATTATCTTCTGCTTGATTTTCACTTTCCAATTTTTAATTTTCTTCTCTAATGTGGCATTATTTGATAGATAATGAAAGGAAACGGCTCTAGTACATGTGAGAGGAAGTCTATTAACATCGTAGTTAACCACGACTTCTCTAGAGGGCTGGACTCTTGGCATCCTAATTGCTGCCATGGCTATGTGGTTTCAGCTTAAATCAGGTTCACGAGGGAGAACTTTGATCAAGTCAAGTAGCAATTATGCTGTTGTCACGAACCGTAAGGAATGGTGGCAAGGTCTGGAACAGGACATCACAAGCAAAGTTTCCGCTGGCTCCACTTACAAGGTTTCAACTTGTGTGGGAGTATCTGGGCTTCATCAGAAATATGATGTTATAGCTACTATTAAGCTACAATATCGAGATTCAGATACTTGTTACATGACCATTGGGAGGTATAAAATTTAATAACCATCATTTGCTTCTAAAGAGTTTGAAAATATTTTAATACTATTACTCTCTTCAGGAATTCAGTAACAGAGGCCAGCTGGGCAAGGTTAGAAAGGACAGTTTACTTGCCAACTATACCTGAACGGGCTATATTTTATCTGGAAGGACCTGCTTCTGGAGTTAAGCTGCTCATACAATCAGCAGAGATCACAAGTCTTTATGAGTATAATGTAATTCTGCACACTTGGGTCTTATAATTTTATTTTAGGTCTAATAATATTAGTACGTTGAAGTATTTTGCTTTAAAGCGCGTGAAACTGTAACATACATGCAATACATCTATTTTGAAAGCGTGCAAGCTCTGAAAGTGATGCTGCTAGAGATGAGGACATTACTATAAACCCTACATTTGATGATGGCCTGAATAGTTGGTCTGGAAGAGGCTGCAAGATTGCTTTGCATAATTCCATGGAAGATTTGAAAATTCTTCGTCGGACTGGGAAGTATTTTGCATCAGCGACAGAACGAGCAGGAAGTTAGAATGGAATTCAGCTAGAGATCACTAAAGGTACAGCGTAAGCTTGCCTACGAAGTCACTGCTTTTGTTCGGATACATGGGAACGATTACTTCCGCTGATGTAAGGGCAACTTTGTGTGTCCAAAAGCCAGATCTTCGAGACCAGTTTATAGAAATTGCGGAGTTAGCTTCTTTTCTTTTCTTTTTCTTGTTTAAATGATTATCATATTTCTGTATGTTATATACTCCCTGGGTTATAACTTTCCTGGGAATAATCTTGATAAAATGAGAAAAGAAACGCGGTGTCGCCAGATTTTTCTCATAGATAATATAGAATTGATCATGAATTTTACGCATAATAATAACTGATACGAAAAAGCTTCCTTGACGATTCTCATTTCTGAGCAAAGATGTTAATCCTGAAGTGTGCAGGCAACAGATGAAGAATGGGTTCAAATGAAGAGAAAGTTCCCTTTAAATGCGCTGACATTCTTGTCAATACTTTGTTTGTTAAGCGCGCAGCAAAATCACCTCCTTCAACACCACCTGATGTTAAGGTCAGTATTGACTCTCAAAAATAATATAAGCTTGCAATTATTCTTGGAGTTGTTTCGTGTGCTATAAATGGAAGGCCGGCCAAGTAGGAGCAGTGTTACGCAGATATAAACACTAATCTTGGATTTGTTCTGCAGATGCTGCTTTTGGGATTAATGTGATTGAGAACACCAATCTAGATGATGGTTCCAAGGGATGGTTTCCCCTTGGCAACTGTACTTTAAGTGTTGGAAGCGAATCTCTTCGTATTATTCCACCGTTGGCAAGAGGTTCGCTGGGTTTACAGAACAATTAAGTGGGCGCTACGTCCTTGTGACGAATCGCACCAAGCCATGGATGGGTCCTGCACAGATCATCACTGAGAAACTAAAACTCTCCCTGACATATCAAGTATCTGATTGGGTTCGCATTTGTTTAAGATCAACTGGTTCACAGAATGTTAATGTTGCTCTTTCTGTTGACAACCAGCGGTTCCATTGTGGGCACGTTAAGGTTGCTGATGACAGATGGCATGAAATGGATGGGTCCTTTAGAATCGAGAAGCCACCATCAAAGGTTATGGTTCATTTCCGAGGTCCTGCTTCTGGTGTTGACTTGATGATTGCTGGACTCTAGATATTCCCTCTTGACAGGCAAAAAAGGTTTGCATATTTAAAGGAGCAGACAGAGAAGGTAACATCTACCTTTGTCATTTATTCAATACGGACATATCTCTATAGATAGAAATTCTTGTA